GGGCGCGCGGCGGGTCCCTCCCGGGCGGTCTCGGCGCCCGGGCCGCTCCTCTGCCACCGGGCCCGGCCGTAGGGGTGTATTGGGGTCGCGACGCCCTGCGTTTGCACCAGCCCTGGCGAGGCTCCAGGCTCCTGGGAGATGTTTTGCTGTCCCAAGAGGGGCAAATATCTTTCCTGCAGAGCTTCTGAGGGTCCACAGAAATGGCTCACACTATTTTTTCTCAATAAGCAACGCGAGTAAATTAACTCTATTCACAGAACTGGTCCTTGCAGATATTGCGGGGGGAGGATGGTCAGGTTGGGAAGGCCTGCTTTCTCAGATGCAAAAAATAATTGAGAATCTATGTATTCATTCAACGAGCATTTATGGTCTATTATGTGTGAGACGCTGGGAATGGGCCGAGTGGAATCCCCACTAACAAAACTGCGAGCACCAGGGTGTTGTTTTCAGTCTCATGCTTGTCTTTTAAAAACGGGTCCCCTTTCTCATAGTTTTTCTGTTGTGCACTGGTCCCGTTGCTGCCGCCCCCAGTGCTGCTCATTGAAAGTTCTCGATTTGGCTTCCACCTTCCACACTAATGGGTGGAATGTCAGGAATCTGGAGAGAAAAAAAAGATAGTGTTTTTCTAGCATCAGCAAATCATACCACGCTGATTTCAGGTATCTCCGGCAGCTCACTCTAAAGTCAGGTTAGCAGCTTGCTTCCATGGCAGTTGCGTCTTTTAAGAACCTGAAGGCCAAACGCAGTTTCACAAAGGAGATTATCTTCGTGTGGGAGTCGGTGGTCTCTCCGTGGTCCCCAGGAGAAAACGGCGAAAGGACATAGAAAATAAAGACAAGAGACGATAGCCGGGGTCAGGTGGAGTTACCTCTTGCCTGATGAGCAGGAGGACTGGCTCCAACAGTAGGGGCGTTTATTTTATACACTTGCAAAGTAGTATCCTGAGAGATAATGTTGCCTAGCAACTAAGACAAAGACTAAGACTAAGACTAATTGTCCAAGCAGGATGCTTTTTTCAATACTGAGGCAGCTTGACTGCCTGAGGCACTCTGGATCTGTCCCACCCTCAGACACATGACCAACAACCAACTGCAGCGGCTCCCAACATCTTCACACTGAAGCCGTCAAAGACTTCACTCTGCCTGAGAGCGGGAAGCACACAGGTGTGACAAGAATGAGAAGGCGGTAGAGACTGCAGGAGCGGGAGGGTGTCAGGTGAAGCCCCTTTCCCTAGCCCTGGGGCACCCTGTGCAGTTACCCAGACATAGTTTAGTAACAAGCAGAGCAGTACTAGAGGAGATCAGAGAGTTCCTCCCTGAACCTTCTTTGAATACAAAGGATTTGCTAATTCCATTGCAGATTTTTACTATCAAAGTCCTATTAAGTTTTTCTTCTAGTCATTAATGACCTCCAAATTTTCCTTTAAAAATGAATCTTTACTTTCGTACTGTGAAAAGATCTACTTAGCTGTTTCTGAGTTTCCTTGAAATCATTTTACCTGTCCTCAATCCTTTCTCCAGAAAAATGAGGTTAAAAACGACCAAATTTCTATTTGCAGGCTGAATCTCATCTTGTATGTCCAACTGCTGGCTTGTTTCTGTGTCTTCATTCAGACTCCGCGATTAGGCTGTTCTCGTCCTCTCCCCAGCCTGCTCCGCCCGCCCTCTTCACTCTCTCCGTTGAGATCTCATCTTTCCGCGCCCGGACCCATTTCTCTTTTCTCACACATTCTGCATTCAAGCCTGCAGAAGACTCTGTCGGCTTCACCTTCAAAATATACCCAGCACTAAGCCACCCCCATCACCTCCTTTGCAGCCTGCCTGATTCAAGCCACTATCTTCCACGTGGATTATGACAAGAGCCTGTTTATCCTGCTTAAACCCTTGTTCCCCCGCAGGCTTTGCTCAGCAGAAGTTCCTGTGAATAGAATCATAGAGTAAATACTCCTTTGGGTCTGGTCCGCTTCATATAGTGTGTTCTTGAGATCTTTCCTTCCTTGTTAGCTGTATCAAAGTTTATACCCTTTTATCACTGCACAGAACTCCTCTATGTGCATATACTCTGATTTATCTGTTCCCTTGTTGATACATATTTGAATTGTCTATTAATAAAGCTGTTTGGACATTCACATAGACATATTTTTGTAGGAATATATCTTTTCTTTTCTCTTAAGTAAGTACTTTAGGAGTGGAATTCCTAGGTCATATGGTAGAAGTATGTTTAACTTTATAAGAACGTGCCAGAGTGTTCTTCAAAGTGAGTGTGACATTTTACATTCCCACCAGCAGTGTGTGAGATTCCATTTGCTCCACATCCTCGAAGATACCTGTGTTGTCAGATATTTATAATATCAGCCGGGGCTGGGGATTTAGCTCAGCGGCAAAAGCGCCTGCCTGGCAAGCGCAAGGTTGTGAGTTCGGTTCCCGGTACCGGAGAAAAACAAAAAACGAAACAAAAATATCAGCCATTCTGGTGACTGTGGAAATGGTATCGTACTGTGGTTTCAATTTGCATTTCTCTAATGTCTAGTGTTGAACACTTATTTCATATTCTATTGTCTTCTGATAGGACCTTCTTTGAAGGACCTGTTAAAAACTTTTTTCTTCATTGTTATTATTGGGAGTTATCAATATTTTTTTGTTTCTTCATTTTCTTATTATTAGTTGTAACAGCTTCATTAAATAGTCTTTCTGCAAGTCCTCTGTCAGATATATATTTTAAAATATTTTCTCCTAGGCTGGGCATGATGGCACATACCTATAATCCCAGAGCTCAGGAGGCTGAGGCAGGAGGATTGCCACAAATTGGAGCCCAGCCTGAATTCAAGCATAGCAAGACCCTGTTTCAAAAAAATTTTTTTTCTCCTAATCTTTGTCTTATCTTTTCAATTTGTTAATTTGATCTTTTGAGAACAAATAATTTAAATTTTGATGTTTATTACATTTTTTCATTTTGTTCTTTATTCTGTCTTATTAGGAAATCTGCCTTGGGCATGCTTTTTATGGTCTGTAAATCTCAGCTCTTGCCGTTTTTTTTTTTTTGAGATGAGATCTTACTATGTAGCACAGGCTGGCCTTGAACTCACAGCAGTCCTTTTGCCTCAACCTCCTGAGTGCTGGGATTATATGTGTGGGCCACCACACCTGGCTGAATTTTGGTTCTTATATTTATTGTGTCTCCTTCACAAAAGGAGAATTCCTTGGCCCTGAAATGTAGGTAAGAGGAAATGGGCACATTAGGTCAGATGCTGGAGTGCAGCATAAATAAAGTGACCTTTATTGCCTTCTGGAGTGGCCCAGTTTATTTCTGTGTGCTGGTGAGACTGGGATTCAAAGGTCATTGTTCTCTGATCATTTGGTAGAAAGATAGTTTACTCTGTGTGGGATGTCAAAACTTCCAGGTACTCCTTGACTGTGTGAACTTGGGAAGGTTACTTAAACTCTCTGGGCCCAATTTCCTCATATATAAAATAAGGGTAATGATACTTTCTGTATTGTAGAGTTTTTGAAGAATTAAATGAAAGAATGTACATAAAACTCTTTGTGCAGTTGCCTACATGTAATTATTGATTGGGTGGCCTATAACTAATTGGTCTGTGTTACAAATTTAGTAAATCAGATTCATTGTATGATAAGTTTGAGAACTTTTCTTTATGTTTTCATTTTTCACTTAAGAGATATTTAAAAGAAGTAAGCATATTTCATCTGATGCAGTTTGATGGCTGGGGCATGGAAATGTGTGGCCCCATGAAGAACAACACCTTCAGATGAAGGCATTTTAGGAATGTATGACTCTGAGATGCTCACTTTTCTTGAATTTCAAAAGTTAGAAGACAATAAATCATACTTCTTTACTATGAATGAGTAATGCAACAATTAACATGCTGCCAGAAGATGTAAGAGTCACTTTTTGTGTACTAACTCAATAGCCGTCTTATTACCCTGTCATACTGAAAAAGAAACTGAGGCACAGAACAGTTAAATAACTTGCTC